CAGGGGAGGATTTTGCAGCTCTTTATATCAACAAAAAAAGGGATTTTGGAAATCCATTTTATTCGTTTTTAATTCTTTTAATTTTTTATTATTAAAAAAGGATTGTAAAAATCCGTGTTATAAATTAGATCTATTATTCTTATTAAATTCGACAGTTATCTTTTTTTTAAAAAAAAATAAATCAAAAATAAAAACGGATTATGGAAATCCGTTTTTCGAATAAAATTTTATTAGAAAAGCGGATTTCCATAATCTGGTTGTTTTACTCTTGTCCACAACTTTTTATTTTTTTTTATTTTTTGTCACATACTTTATTTTATTAAATAATCTACCTCAGGGTTATGTGGAGGTATATATGTGGAATATGGGTTGGACAGTTGGACTTGGACTTTGGGGGCGATTATGAACAGCAGCGGTTTTAGTTGAACTAGTAAATATCATGTACACATGTACAGATGTACATAAAATATAATAAGTAATATTCGAGAATTTATTATTAAAATTTTAGATAATTAAAATATTACATTTTTAAAATTTAATCATTAGGAAAAATAAATTAATGATTGTTTATTATCATAAACAATTGTTAATTATCATTAGATAATAACAGTTTGATTATTATTATTATTATTATTATTATTATTATTATTATTATTATTATTATTATTATTATTATTATTATTACAAAAATAATTTTTTATAAGATTCTAAAGTTGTTTGACTATGCTATTAAAATAATTTATTAATTATTTTTAAAGAAATTTTTTCATGAGATACAAAAGAAAAGGATAATATTGATGTTAAAATAAATAACTTGAAACAATTGTTTATAATTATGCAATTTATATTTATTGTGAATTATTATTAGTTGATATTAGCATTAATTATTATATAATATAATAGAAAAATACATGATTACACTCAATAGGATGTATTAATGTGAGAAGTAAAAAACATTAATGATAAATTTTGTAACCGAAAATGGAGGGAAAATTTTAGAGGTTTTATTAAATAGGTTTTCTTAAATGCTATTAGCTAGTAATTATATATATATAGATATAGATTACTAATTCCATAAAATCAACCATTAGACATTGTCGATAAAAATAAAACCAAACAATTACAACCACTCAAGAAAGGGAGGAGGAAGAAGGTGTGACACGAGGTGCAAATAAGGTGGTCCGAGAGCTAATTTTGGATCGATGACAAATGCATTTAAGGCTAGGGCAACGAAGCGTTTAATTTAGCCTTTTTTTAGTGAGCAAACAATTTTTTCTCAATTTTAGGCATTTATTTTGTTATTGTATTATCATTCTTTGTTTTTCTTGTTGCCAATTTGAGCCTGCATTACAATTTAAACTTTGTTTGTACTGTGTTGAGTACCTGGGATGATCAATGAGAA